AGTACATGAATCCACCAGGCACCGAGCACTCGACCGCCTGCAAGAGCTGAGGGACTGTTTGGGGCCATCTAGTCTGACCCTTTGTATATTAAATTGATGCTCCCTACATTGTTCTCCCCTATAGCAACAGCAGTGATGTTTTTGGCACCTTCTTTGGGAGTCTAGTTGTTTTTGCCATTAAGAACCTCCTCAGTAACCTCTCATTTAAACACTGCCCTCCTTAGCTTCAGCTCTTCTATTACCAGCTGTTTCCAATACTGGGTATCCCTTACGATTTCTATCCCTGTCTGTCAATCCACCAGCCTTTCGTTCAGGCGCATGAAATAATGGTTGTGCAAAAACATTTTACAACTCTGAACCTGACTCAGATTCATTCTCTCATCTGCTCCTTCCACCTGGAACCGGTTAAGAAGTCTCTACCCTGTTGCCATTTCCAACGTCTAAGGTTACTTCGCAGCCTACGGAAGAGTGCTTAACGCATCTCCCAGGTGCCCCTCGTTTCACAGAACTCCACGCATTTTAGTGCCAAAGTGACCTCCATTCCACACATATTTTGGTGTGTCCCTCCAACACACACAGTTACTGTTGAGAAATTATTTACAACCAAAATAACATAATCACGAATCTGCGGCTACAGGATCAGCTGCACTAAAGAGATGAAGCCCACAGCATTTTAAATCTCCTGCCTGAGTAATGTTTGTCTCCTCCTCATTGGGGGGAGGAGGGGGGGCTGAACATTGTGCCCCACATTCGGGCCTTGACAAATCGAGAGGTACAATGTCTGAGCAAGCATGAGGATATGGAGCTAACTTCTTTATCACCAAGGGAATCCAATGAGGAAATCTCAAGTCATCAGTGAATCAAACCACTGCACCCCTGCCCATAGATGGTGGAATTAGGGGTGCTGCCGCACCCCCTGGCTTGAAGTGGATTCCATGATATACAGCGTTTGCAGTTTGGTTCAATGGCTCTCAGCACCCCCACTATACAAATTGTTCCAGCATCCCTGCCTTTGCACCTCATAGATGGATCTCTCTCTCTTATGGGCGGCCCAGTAGGCTATGACAAACCTTGTAATTTAATGTCCCTACTCCTTAACGGAATCTTCCTTAAATATCACTTTTATTCTGATGCGCTCCAAAACTGGGAAGGAAAACAGTGACGATCTCCTTCCTTCCACTCCTCTCTTCTATAATGATGCTTATTTCTCTTTCAGTCATTCTCGGAGGGGAACGCAAAATCAAATAGTTTATATATTCAGGAGCTTATATGTCATTTTTAATCTACATGAAAGATAATTCTCTTATCACTAAAGATGGGCTTGAACCAAAAAGCTCAGATCTCAGTCCAAATTTCTGCAAAATTTGGGGTTTTCTGTAACAGGCCGCCCCCAACACCCTGAATCCAACGTAAGAACCAGCTACAGAACTAGATTCTGGACCTGAACTTCCATTGCAGGTAGGTGGTGATGGGATCCGGAGCTTTCACATGGGTCCATCTTCATTTGTTACACGTGCATTTGAGGCCTAGAGTAGGCTACAATATTTTTCTAGCATAGCTATGTCGGTTAAGAGTGTTAAAAAAAAAAAAAACCCCAAACAGCTTTAACTGACATATCTATGTTCGAATGCTGACACTCACACACACACACACACACACACACACAAAAACACACACACACGTAGCCGCAGCTTACACCAACCAGAGTCCTTTCGCCTGTACAGCTTACATTGTTTGGGGGGCTGGTTTAATCACACTCTGAAAATAATGCCCACTGTCAGTACATGCTGGGTCTCCACTAGGGGGCTTTGCTGGCATAACTATACCCACAAAGTCTTCATAGTGCAGACAAGACCTCACACAGTGAATGTACTGGCCTCCTCCTTTTTACATTCCATTCAACTAAGCAGCAAGGGAATTTAAAATTCAGCTGAAATCTCAACAGATTCAATCATCCGCGAAACACTATTCACATCAAACGAGATCTTTATAACATCAGAATGCTGGCTGTATTTTAAAGAATCCTTATTGAGGTTGCAGGAACAAACCATCCCCATGTGTAGAAAGAATAGTAAATATGGCA